ATGATCGGCTCTCTCTTTCTTTACACGTCACGATGAAATGTAAGCGAGTGGTGAACGACGTTGTCGGTGAGAGAGTCTGTGCAATGTGCAATTTATATATAGAATCAACTTGACGCGCAATGACACAATGTTACCTAATGTAGAAAGTATTCCCTGTATATCATCATAAAAATGATGTCAATGATATTCATATTTTTGGGTTTATTGATGAGAGAATTGAGCCGTCAATATAACATCCATTTGCGCGATATGCTAATTCTTCCGCGTTGCATTGTGCGAAGATCATGATATTTTGCCAAATGGACACTTACTAATCGTTGCCTGTCGTTTAAGTAAAAAACATTTTCGGCTCTTAACAATTGATTTTGATGAATGACGATTCGAAGAAATTGACTATGCCATTAAGATAATCGTTGAGATTAATCACACTGAGAGACAAGTTTTTGGTATTTGTGACTATAATTGTGTAGTAAAATAGTTATAACTGGAAGCTCTATTTTTTTTATATTTTTGTTGTTATAATGTTAGAAATCCTTTTTTAGAGAAATTTAATACTGTACACTCTAAATTTCTTGCAGTGAAATCTCACTTCAAGAATGTGAAAATGCAACCATTCTTAAAAAAAGTGAAAATATTTCACTTTTTGTAAAAAAATTACGATCTTCACTCTTTTTAGAGTAAAATCTCATTTAAAAAAAATGAGGTTTTACTCCTTTGAAGTAAAAATTCACTTTAAAAAGAGTGAAAATTGTCATTCTTTTTTAAGAAGTGAAATATTTTCACTTTTTTTAAAGAGTGATTGTATTTTCACTTTCTTGGAGTGAGATTTCACTGTAAGAAATTTAGAGTGTAAGTATTAAATTGGTTAGTAATTAATTACTTTATTTTAAATATATTAAAAGCACTAACGTTAATGCTTTTAATATTCAAAATAAACGATCACCATCCAATTTAATATTTGCAATATTAAATTTTTCTAAGGGATAACAATTACATTTAGAATTCTCTATACAGATCATTCCAGCAATATTACAGCAACATTTTAACATTCCAGCAATAACATTTCAAACGTTGCTGCAAACTTCTGTGCTATATAGATTTATATACCAAAAAGAATAAATGACTGTCTCCGAAAACGACAATAAATTATTACAATCACAAATACTAAAAACTTTTCTCTCAGTGCACGATGATATGTAGTTCACCTCTGTCTCACACGATAAACGATCGCATGATTATCGAACAATTGCTTGGACTCGGGTTCCTCATTTTCATTGGCATCTTCTATGGATTTCAGCACTCTCTTCCGTTGCTTGAAATTGTGCAGATTCTGCGTTCTCATCTCAGGCCCATTCGCTGTCATAATGCGCGTCTCGGCTGGTATTATATCGCCTGTTGTATTCCGTTGAATAAGACTTTCGTAGTTCTCATCGTCCGAACGATCTTCCATTAAAAGATCGCTCGTACGATTAATCATAGCTTCGTACAAATTCGTGGAGTTAATAGGCTTTTTCGAGAGATTTGGTGATTTCTTGAGAGCATTTTGTAGTATGTATATATGTTTTGTTTCCTGATTGATTTTACTATTCCCCGTCGTGGCGGACGTAAAATCGTACATAAATATCGCCACCTATGATGATATTAAACTAAATGGTTTATTCAAATTGTGTTAATTCAATTTAAGATAAATATGTTAGGAAATAACACAAATATTATGTAAAAAAATAAAACAAAAAATATAAAAATGTTGAATATTAATTTAACACAAAATGTTCAAATAATACAATGTCATGATGATTAACTCTCGGGTATTAAAAATTTAATACAAAAACATTTTAATAATAACCGGTTTTAATACAAACAAAATATTTTTTTTATAATACCAAGCCATTTTAATAAAATTATTGTTTTTAATATCTGCTAGATAAAATAAAATTTAGCTTGTTTCGTAAAATTTTAGTTAACTAAACGTTAACATTACGCTACTTTTGAGAGCAACACAATGTTAGTTCTTAATTGACATTGAAAAATTTAATATCTAGTTTCACTGTAGAAAGAAAATAAATGATTGCAAAGCGAAATTGTACAATTGTACAATTAACAATTTATAAATCAGCGAATGATATTTATATATACAGCTTTTGAAACAACAAAGGTGCAATTAACCCATGTTCCCAACTGACAGACGATGGTTAATCTGTACCGAAACACAGTTAACGCCCTATATGTGAAGCGTGTAGAAATCTTCACTCGCTTGGCTCCCCATGCATAGAAGGAATACCCAAAGATTCACGGTGAAATTACAATTCCACACACGTCTTCAACATTAATCACCGGAGAAAACGCGCAAACTATAATTATGCCTATTGTTCTTCGCGCGTGGAAGAAATTCGCGAAAAACTCCGTACCATTTGATTATCGTCATCTCGGAGGCACGTGTAACAAAATCGTGCGAAACAGGATGCTTCACGAATCAACAGACTTTTCGATGTGCAAGGTCATCGTCCGACACAAGTTGTACGATAGAACATGTAGTGAAATCATCGATTGTAAGATATGAACGGATATGAATAATATATATTATGTAGATAGGTACACATCGCTTCATCTATTCAGTTGTAACTCATTATTTCATATTCCTTAATCCTGAAGATTTAACTACCTCAATACTTTGATTACCCAACTGATTTTGGCATTAAACTGAATAAATCTAGTGTATTATTTTAATACTTCATTGTTAATGGTTTGTTTAATATAATTTATATTGTTTATTCAATGTCTTAAATATTTAGTAAAATCATTTTTAATCGGATAGAAACTATCATTCACAAATCAGACTGTCAATTTTACGTATCACTCAAATATATATAACTTGCGTGCGTCCCATTTGATGCTCGCAACTCTCACAAGCATTATTTGTTCTTGTTCAACATTTGATAAACAATGAAAATGGAATTCAAGATCGTTGCGAACGCCAAGTGGTTAACGTAGCCAAAATGTTACCAAGCTATTTGTAATATGATATTAATGCTTTCTTATCAATCAGGATTATTATTACGCCACGACAGATGTAACCAAACGAATAAATCCATATTTATATAACGAAAAAAGATATATTGATTGTCAAAATATGTAAGAAAAAACTGAAATATACTCGATAAATACAGTAATTAAAATTATTTGTCATGTAATTATGGCAATACCGATCAATATTATTCTTTTTTCATTTTTCTACTTTTTAATTTTTCTGCTTTAATTTTTCCATTTTATGAGCTCTGATTATAAATTTCAATTATAAGCTTCAGTTGTGTCCCGAAATATTTTCTAACACTTGACAAATGTAACAAATAATTAATTAATAATTCTGCACACTCGATTACTCACCAGTATTACCGTTACCACCACCATAACTCCGATCGCAAGTTTTCTCACAATTAAACCGTAGCGACTCCTGTTATATCGATCACCGCGATCAGAATAAAGCCCTAGCTCAGATGTACTTATGGCGGATCTCCTGCCAGTTTCAAGCATCGCCTTCTGAGAGGTCTGGTGACTGATATCCTTTACGATTACACATTAGGATGATACTGAGCTTAATTAATCAGCTTACCGTTGACATGCCTCAAATTGTCGATTTATTTCACCTTGCCATTGCGGTCAGTTGTAAACGCAAACGATCGACAGGTGTTCGTCGGCAATGATTATTTTGACAAACGAAGAAGAAGACTATTTTAGCCCGATGGTAGTGTTTTAGGCCCGACTTAGACCTTTTTAACTCAATAGTTTGCTATTTCAAACTATATAAAGCACACGACGTTACTCTTTCACTGCTACCCACGCAACTAACGATCAAGCATTTCTCGGCACGCAGTTTTCACTTAGTGATTCTATCAGTGCCGTGGAGATTTCCTTTGTTTGTGGGGGAGGCTCGTTATGGTAAGTAGAAGGCAGATGGTTATGGGCTACTTATTTTGATGCCAGGACTCGAGTGCCACCGGAGCATACATGCAAGGAAAATCTCTCACCGCGTTCCGGTGCTCGACCTGCTAAATACGCTACTAACGTTCCATTTTCGTCCACTCATTCGTCAAAGCGACATCGTAATTTCTTGCCCGTGATATATACTTTTGTCACAAGTGTCTACACGCAAGTATCAGGAATAATAGAAAGCGGTTGGACACTTGCAGCGAGGATTTTAATATGTTTATTATACGGAATAGGTACTTATATGTATAAATCTATAGAAATTTACTGTAAATTACTGCGAGTTATAAATAAAAATTGTCCTTTCAAAAAACTGACTCATTAATATAGAATTCTTTAAAAGAAAAATATTTGTAATTATCATGAAAAAGTCTATAATTAAATATCAATTGTGATACTAATAGTTTTAAATACACTCAGGACTAAAAGTTTGGAAACATTTTTTAATTGATTTATTTAACAATAAAATAATTCTTTATATTCAATATTATTAAACCTAAAGGATTATTGTTAAAAAGATATTTTTATAGATATTTAAGAAAGTAATCCTACAAATGTCAATTTTTTAATTTATAGTGTTTCCAAACTGTAGTGTGCATCAAACTTTTAATCCGTATCTGTCAAATAAAACATTTTTCTGATTAAACATATTTTAGTGCGTACGTGATGTATGTTAATTTGTTATTTTATTTAATAAAACTATGCAATTATAATTTTTTATATTATACATATATATATTATAATTACTTTCAAATGTACAAATATGTATGCTTCTCACTGATTGTATATACATATACAATTCTGTGTGTGTGTGTATATATATATATATATACCTTATTTTCACGTTAAATGCATCGCTGAATTTTATAAAATGTAAAATACGCAACATTTGAAAATTATTTCTAATTTCGATGTGTTTTTTGTATCAAATTAAAAACACATTTTACGTTAAAGTGGAAAGGTATGTAAATACATTTATCTAAAAATTTTTATTTCTTTTCTATACTTATTACATATGTAAAGAGACATTCGTTCGTTGGCCGACCAAATTCTTATTTAGAGAGAATAGTGTGGCCAAAATGATCGATATATAAAAAAGGTGATACTGTCAAAATGTCTGGCGAAGGATTCAGCGTTACCTATATCGGCCATTAAATCATCTTTGCTAATATTAATATTACGCATACTAATATTTAAGATTTCGGTAATCGGTAACGCGATATAAGCTACTCCTGTCAGCCCATGTTATTTTCATCGTTTGCGAGTTTCAAACGGAATGTCGGGAATCGGGTAATTATATCCTAAAGTTGGCCTGGGTGTTGTAGGCGGCAGTGTTGGAGGTGGTGCAGGCCTTCCGGTTGGTGGCGGTAAAGTTGGCGTGCTGGGTGTAATGCTGAAAATAGGTTCAGGTGGCGGCGGCGGCGTCACGGTTGGATATACTGGTCTTGGGCTTGACGGCGGAAGATACGGTGGCGGTCGAGTTGGAGTAAAAGTTGACGGAGTGGTCGACGAATAGACAGGGGTAGTCTGACTATACGTGCTACTCGAAAATGTCGTTCTTATAGATGGAGTATATCTTGTAGTGGTATCTTGTATTGGAGTATATCTGGTTGTAATTGGAGTGTAGGTTGTGTATCTGGTCGTGGGTGGAGTGTATCTGGAGGTGGGTGGAGTTCTGGTCGTGGGTGGAGTGTATCCAGTCGTCGGTGGAGTGTATCTGGTCGTGGGAATCGTGTGTACAGTTGGGATATATCTGGTGGATGGCTCAGAGTAAGGCGGAAGGTAAGTAGATGGCTGAGCAGTGACTCGCGTACTGATTCGAGGAGTAGGTCGAGTAATATATTGTGTAGTAATTCTTGGCGTAGGTCTTGTGGTAAAACGAGTAGATGTTTTCGTAGTATACCTTCCAAATTCAGTATCGAATGATCCAGCTTCATATTCTATAGGTCCTTGTGTTGTTGTCCTTGGTGGTACATAAGAAGGTCTAGTTGGAGGTGGAGGTAAATAAGAAGGTGCGGTTTTAAGTGGAGGTGGAGGAGGTGGTGGTGTTCTTGGGGGTGGTGTTCTTGGTGGAGGAGTTTGTGGGGGCGGTACATATGGCGGCGGCGTTCTCGGTGGAGGAGTTTGAGGAGGCGGAATATACGGTGGCGGTGTTCTTGGTGGAGGAGTTTGCGGAGGAGGTGTATATGGGGGCCTCGTGTATGGTGGCGGCGTTCTCGGTGGAGGAGTTTGTGGAGGCGCAGTATATGGAGGCCTTGTGTATGGTGGCGGCGTTCTCGGTGGAGGAGTTTGTGGAGGTGGTGTGTAAGGAGGCCTTGTATATGGTGGTGGAGTCTTCACAGGTGGTAAATATGGTGGTGGTGTTCGCGGTGGAGGAGTTTGTGGAGGCGGTGTATATGGGGGCCTTGTGTATGGTGGAGGCGTTCTCGGTGGAGGGGTTTGCGGAGGTGTGTATGGGGGCCTCGTGTATGGTGGCGGCGTTCTCGGTGGAGGAGTTTGTGGAGGTGGTGTATATGGGGGCCTTGTGTATGGTGGAGGCGTTCTCGGTGGAGGGGTTTGCGGAGGTGTGTATGGGGGCCTCGTGTATGGTGGCGGTGTTCTCGGTGGAGGAGTTTGTGGAGGTGGTGTGTATGGGGGCCTTGTGTATGGTGGTGGAGTCTTCACAGGTGGTAAATATGGTGGTGGTGTTCTGGGTGGAGGAGTTTGTGGAGGTGGTGTGTATGGGGGTCTTGTGTATGGTGGCTGCGTTCTCGGTGGAGGAGTTTGTGGAGGCGGTGTGTATGGGGGCCTTGTATATGGTGGAGGCGTTCTCGGTGGAGGGGTTTGTGGAGGCGGTGTGTATGGGGGCCTTGTGTATGGTGGAGGCGTTATCGGTGGAGGGGTTTGTGGGGGTGGTATATATGGTGGTGGCGTTCTTGGTGGAGGAGTTTGTGGAGGCGGTGTGTATGGGGGCCTTGTGTATGGTGGAGGCGTTCTCGGTGGAGGGGTTTGTGGGGGTGGTATATATGGTGGTGGCGTTCTTGGTGGAGGAGTTTGTGGAGGCGGTGTGTATGGGGGCCTTGTGTATGGTGGAGGCGTTCTCGGTGGAGGGGTTTGTGGGGGTGGTATATATGGTGGTGGCGTTCTTGGTGGAGGAGTTTGTGGAGGTGGTGTGTATGGAGGCCTTGTGTATGGTGGTGGAGTCTTCACAGGTGGTATATATGGTGGTAGTGTTCGCGGTGGAGAAGTTGGTGGCGGCACGGTTCTTGGTGGCGATGTTTTCGGCGGCAATGTAAATTCTGTACTTGGACTTGTATAAACGTATCCTCCGCTTGTTACTGGAGGTGTTCTTGGTGGTGGTGTTCTAGGCGGCGGCGGTGGTGTTCTTGGTGGCGGTGTTCTAGGCGGCGGTGGTGGTGTTCTAGGCGGTGTCGGGAATGGAGTTCTCGGGGTTGTATATGTATATCCCTGTGTTACCACATATGTTGATGTTCTTGGTGGTGGCGGTGGCGTTCTTGGTGGTGGCGGTGGCGGTGGCGGTGGCGTTCTTACCGTTGTCTGAACTCTTGGAGTTGTATAAGTATATGGTGGTAATGTCACCGTCGTTGGCCTAAATGTTATTATGCTTGTCCGTGACGTCACTCTGTCAACGTAATCATAGATATGTGTTTGATGAGAAATTATTAGTTATTATTACATAAATATAGCTTGATCACAAATAAAACTTTTTAAAGACAAATCTAATCAGATTGATAGTTAGAGGAAAGTCCCCGATATCATACCATCTTGTTTCTGGATATTTCTTAAAAATAAAACTTTAGGAACATAATATATATTACAAATAAGAAAGTGTTTTTAGATAATATAATAATTATTATAATATTGCGTCGAATTTGAAGTAATTAACTTTTTCATAATTTAAACAACAAGATAAAGGATGTATCTTTAGAAGATCTATGTTAGTAACGGTGACTTTTCTCTATATATGTATCAAAACTGATATTTATATGTATAAGTATTTTAGGATTTTCAGATTTTTTACTACTTACGGAGGGGGTAAAGTGAAAGGTTTAGATGGTGGCTCATAATTATAACCCTGGAACTGTGGGCTGTTTTCTATTGCACGTTTGCTTCTCTCACGGTTTGCATCTGTATGACACGTGGAGAGCACGGCCACCAGAATGGCCGCCCACAGCAGCTTCCACTGTAATACAACTTTTATTAAAATTTTACCGTAGACACAGTACAGATCAAGCATACCATTACGACCAAGCAATGGTTTACGGTAGCCCGTAAATGAGAAAGAGAGAACACAACTTAAATTTTTCTTTTTTTCTGTTAGAAGATAGTTCTCTATCTGTTAAAGAGAGAAAAAAGATTTGAGTTGTTTCTCTCTCACACGTACGACATATTCGATGTATCTACTATGTCTATGATAAAAATTAACTTGGTTATGTTTACATGTATATTTGATTAATGATAACTATCATTAGAAATATTTTTTGCTTTAATTGCTTCCTAGATAATTATCGCGCCAAAGATCGTTAATAAAAAAAGTAAATAAAAATCACTTTATTTACTCTTTCCCGTAGTAATTAGTCAAGCATTCACGTATGCAACCTTAATATATATTATAATGTGTCGAAGATCATCTCCGTGGGATAATCTCACGCTTCACCTACGGTGATCTTACATAACGCATCTCGGCCACAAGGCGCTATGTAATATGACGATGATGATCGTGAAAGGTTTGCGAGTATAGAATATGGTGTATCGTCTTCTCATTGATTAATGTTTGATGATGCAAACGGTGTCATTTGTTACAATTATGCGTGCTTCCTATTATGTATATATATATATATATATATATATGTATATGTATATGTAAATTTTTACTGCAAAGCACGTGCTTCATTTTAAACAATTAAGCATTAACTATTATAAACGCTTTTTAATGTAGATTTTATAATATATATTTATTGTATTGGATTTTATTGTTTGATATTTATAAAATTAAATATTTTTAGTATGCTGTTTTTATTTTTATATTTAATTTCTCGTTTCTTTTCTTATTTAATTTTTGTACTTGGTATATTTAGTATACAACATATTTTATATTTAAATTCTTTGTTATATTACAACAAAAATGTTTTTCTGTAACAATATGTTTATTTGTTTCTTTAATATGTATGGATAATCTGGCACTAGCAAGTCGAGATATGGTCTCATTAATGAGTTCAAAGGTGCAGCATGTTTCATTTCATCAGATTCAACTGGCACTTCTGACTGACGAATTAAATAGCCGTAACTGTTCGCGACGGCATCTGTGTTCGACGAACGATAATCCTGTCTTGAAGGAGCGCGTCCGGTGACCTTTAGCTTTATAATTTATATTGAAAGATAGCAGCGCGTGCGCCACGAGAAAAAGATAGCCTCTCCCTTGTATCTTGCTTAGTGTATACAAGTGCTGAAGTCGGTTTGTCAAAGAAACGATATAGATTATGAAATCGTGGCAAATGTCCTATCGTCCTAAAGTTCATAACGTAATAAGATTTAAAAAAAATAAAATTTACGATTTTATAATTAAAGTTTTTGATTCTCAACGTATAATTACAATCTAATTAAAGGTAACTTTAAATAACGCATAAATAAATAGAAGTTTGTGGAGAATTTATCAAAAGAATTTTGAGAATGTTGTTTTATTAGAATAATGCATATCTGAAAAGTTCTTAGCGAATTGAACGTTTTTAATTTTCTAATATTTCCATTAAAAAGATTCCAAATTAATATTCCGATTTTGTGGGCTCACAGAATCAGAAGCGAATGTATAGATATTAAAATAAGTAATAAGTATAGGGCTACGAGCCAAGTCAGGTTTTAATGCTGTGTTATTAAAAAATAAAAAAGTTTATTATCACAAAAGGTTCGACCCTAATTGGGTCATTCTTAATGTTAAATTTGATACAATTTAAAATCAATGACTCATTTGAAAGGCAATAACTTGACAAAACACATGATATGATTTAAACAGTAATTGTAATAATATATAAAATTCATCGTTGTGTATGTACAATATCGTTATGGATGGTTGTGAGTATTATTCAATGTATAAACGTGAAAACATAGATACTGCATTATTCGGATAAGAACGTGAAAATGTGGATATATTATTATAATCTGATCAGATTAGATATGTCTTTTCTAAAGAGATTATTTATTAGTAGTTCATTTGTCAGTTTAAGAGTGCAACTCTGAACCTTTGCAATTGCGTCTTTAAGATCACTTTATAGGATAGCCGTTGATGACCACTATGCATTGTAATGTATACATTTTCACGTTCTTACTCAAACAATGCAATATCTATGTTTTCACACACACAACACATTTATATATTGAATAATGCTCACAACCATTCATAACGATATTGTACACACACAACGATGAATTTTATAAATTATTATAGTTATTGTCTAAATCATATCATGTATTTCGTCAAGTTATTGTTATGTCTTTCAAATGAGTCGTTGATTTTAAATTATATTAAGTTTAACATTGAAAATGACCCAATTAAAGTCGAAACATTTGTGATAATAAACTTTTTTAATAACACAGCATTTAAGACCTAGCCCTATACTTATTATTAATTTTATAAATTATTTGAGCCTTTTTTCTTATATTATTTTTTAAAATAAATGTTTAAATACTGTATAACAATAAAAATAACAATACAAAATTTATGAAAGATTTATGATATGTAACACGTAGTTTGGACATCGACTTTCATATGTTTTACATAGTTCCTTTCTAATTGCTCTATAGTTATGGAATCGTAACGTTTATTAGAGTTAAACATGTAAGCAACATCGTGTATAATGTCACATTTACAACACAGTACATGTAATAAAATTATTATAAAAGAAGTGCAGAAACTATAACTAATGTGTAAATATTTTTAATAATTATTATTATTTGAAAAGAGCTACATGCATAATGATATACAATAAGACTCGCACAAAATATATAATCATCAAATATGTCCTACATAAACTGATAAAAATATAAAGCATTTAAATTTATAATAACTTATTTAAAAACAAAAATTGATAAAAAATCAAAGAAATAATGGTTACTTTAAATCAGAGCTCATTGTAAACAGTTTGGAGCAAAATATTGCAAGCTAAACTTTTGTAATTCAGAAGGAAGCTTGTTATAAAATATAATACATTGTTAAATTAAAGATTGATATTATAAGAAACAACATGGCTATCAGATTATTTCTACACCTCCCTGATAATATCTTTGTGGCATCATCTAAGTTAATCGATTATGTCTATTTTAACTCTTCAATATATCTGTTCCACCTTTGGCCTTTACCATATTTGCTTTAAACAGGTTCTTATCGTAACATGTCGTTGCAGGAACCCTTTTGTACTAACAACAGAGAATTCTTTCTTGCTTGTGGCGGCACAAAAATCACAAGAATTTTAACAACCATGTAGAATGAGTCAATGGCAACTTATGATCTCAAATAGATTTTTGTTGCTTATGCAAAACTATTATTTAAAGATTTCATGGTGTGTTGAACCAAGTTCATTTATAAACATAATTTTTTATTTAAACTAAGCAGGGTTGGTAAAGACTAATGTTTTTTTTTAAGAATAAAACATATTATGTTTCTTCTTGAATATGTTTTTAATGCTTCAAATATGCTTTGAACAGTACTATAAAAAAAAACATATTTAAAACATATTAAAAACATCAATTAAGTATGTTTTAAACTGTTTAAAACACGTTTAAAACATGTTTTTTACCAACCCTGAAACTAAGAGAGATCTATATTATATTTTATATCACATTTAAAATAATCTTATCAAATTAATTTGCAGTAAAATTTGAGTTTGTTAATTTTAAATATATAGTTTTAAATTAATTTTATTTATACCCTTGTTTAACATATTTAATTGTTTATTTGTTCTAAAATGGCTAATCATGAACTCGTGTCGTGACAAGAATACACACACACACACACACATCCCTCCTCAAGGCATTCATTAAACTGATCCAGAAGACTGATCCGAGTAGAACATCATTATTATGTAAATGAAAATTCCGTATAGGAAGTGTCCGTTTTATTGAAGCCGGTATAAGTTCAAGTCTCTCTGAAAATTACACAGTTATGTAAATGTAAAGGGACTCGCGAACAATATTCTTGCAAAGTGTCTTGCAACTGTCTGCGAAATATTATTTCGTGAAAAAGACAGAACCGTGATTTGCAAGGTATAGACCATCCCTTCCCTCTTTGCTCCCGCAGAATGCTAGAAGTTATCTTTGATGGAATTTATGACGGGATTTATTTGCAAAACATTTACCGGTGACATGAGTAATCATCTTATTCTTGCAACTGTAGGATGCTCAAAAGACTTTAAGAAAGAGGAGGAGGCTGCGCTTTCTCAAGAGTCTTGAGGGATCATTTAAATTTAAAACGCAACGCAATAACACGTAAAGAAGCTTTCGAAACTCCGTTGTGCAGGTACACGCGCGCATCATTTTTATCTCAAACGATTCTCTCGCTGCACGTGACAAGTAGGGCAATTATTAGAGCATAATAAGTGCGGACACCCGGTAGTATGCTTATCCTAATTTGTTCAGCGCTATGCGATAGGTGCGATCCGTGTAGATTAAGTAAACAATCGATCACTCTCACAAAGTATCTTTAGATATTTCATTTACATTTGGAGAAAGCGAGAGTCCGCGAGATGTCGGCCGATAAGCGACATGGACTTCGATGGCCTTTTTCTCATTGGGTCGATGTATGGATCGTGTAAAGTACAAAATGTATTACGCAACGCAATCGAGTGTTAAAATCTTTAATCACGCGACTGTCGCTAATGGACACACGGAAAATAGTCGATCAAATCGCGAGGTGTAATCGCCAAAGGTATAGAATTTCTTTTGTGCGGACCTTTCTGAGAAAATTGCACGGATAAATAAAAAGGCCCTCCAGAAAGTGTTGCACACGCCATTTGCAGAAGTAGATTTTATTATAATAATTAAAAACGACAAGCAATTAAAAACTTTCTATATAACCCCAGGGTATTAAAATTTCAGTTGATATAATAATTGCTTAATAAAAGATTTATATTAATTTCCGTAAATGTCGAAGGTGATTTAAAACACGAAAAATCTTTATGAGACTTTAATTAA